GGCCCAAAGACCAAAGGCAGCCAGTCATGAATGGAAGCCTCTGAAATCACAAGCCAATAGAAACCTTTCCTCTTGTTAAGTTGACTTATTTCAGTCACTTGTTACAGTCAGGGAATGCCAACTGACATACCCAGGCTGGGTCTGGCATGTTCTAGGAGCTGAGTAGATGGTGGCCATTGTCCTTGGATAGGGAGAGGACAGTGGAGACAGTGAGTCAGAGGCTTTAGGGTGCATGTACTTAGCTAGGACTTTTTCATTATTACTAGTGAGAGAACTTAGACCCATTTATAGAAAAGGAGAGAGGGAGGAGGCACTGGAGGCTCATGCCATTACTCTGTGGTTGGCAGGTTTGCAACTGGTCTTGGATGATAGGATAAGATTCTCCTTCCATCTCCCCTCTGCACCTTTTCTGCCTGTTGGCATAAGTAGTTTCAAGCTATAAACTCTAAGTATTTCGGCTTACAAAAGCCTCAGGAGCCAGGCATGGTGGTGCATGCTCTCGTCCCAGCACTTGAGAGGTGGAGCCAGGAGGATTGTCACAAGTTGAGGCCAGCCTGGACTCCATAGTGATTCAAGGCCAGCCTGAACCATATAGCGAGGCCCTGTCTCCAAAAATAATGCCTCAGGAGCAAGGAGAAAGACATCCAGGGAGATCTGATCATCCCAGGTTAGCTCAACAGGAGGGATATTCTGGGGCCACAGACGCTCTTGCTGGGGAGTCTGGGACTGCCAGCCCCCCTTGCATCACATGAGCAAGTGGCCAGTGCTCCCCCTGGAAAGGGCTTTGGAGCGCAGTCAAGACCAGCCTTGCTTCCCTGGTGGATGACTCCTGCACTGGGCCTGGGGAGCTGGGAGGGGAGGAGAGGGTGGCAGGTGCAGCAGGTTTAAAGCGCCAACTCTGATTTCTTGTTATCAAAGACCATTCTGGGCATGCTTCAAAGTATTCCCAGAAACCCACAGCAGAAGTGAATCTTCTGTCCTCCTCAGGGGCTCCCCTCCTGGCCTGGCCTCAACCAACGATATTCCTAGTTTTAGAAATTCCTTTCCTTATAGTTTTTGGCTCTTAGTGGTGCTTTTTTTGATGAAAATGAAAACTCCCACCCTGCTGGGAGGCAGCTGAGCCCCACTCAATGCACAGTACACAGGCCTCCCTGACAACTCAGCCCAGACTACGGTCCCCCTCAGGGCTCTGGAGAGTGTCCAGGGTAGAGGAGGCACTCACTCAAGGCAGCCCATGTTCTGCTGAGGATGATGCTTCCCTGGCTCCTCCGGCCTCCACGCCGTCCCCAGGACAGCGGGGGTCCTGGGATCAGCTGCACAGCTGTGCCTCTCAGATACAGCACAGCTGTGCAACAGTGAGCAGAAGCACTGAAACAACACCCAGGATTTGGAGGCAGATTTATTCACATGGACGAGCACTGATCGAGATCATTCGCAGAATATCAGGTCCTGATCTCTGGGGGTCTAGGGCTTTTATATGATGTCTAAGCAAGAGGTACAAAGTTGAGACAGGACAATGTTGCAGTTCTTCTGATTAGCTAGCAGGGTGAGATCATCGGTTACAATGGTAGACTAATAATCATTAATTTATGAAGCTTGGTACAATGGTACAATCAGGCATTTTGTATATTTGGTTACACTCACATGGTTACTCAATAAAGTAGTTACAAAGCCATGTAGCAGTTACAGAGCTAGGCAGTTTCAAAAGAACAAAGTTTTAAAAAGAACAATGTCTCTTGTACAGTTTTTCCCTTTCATAGGAAGAGGCTGAGTACCCAGGCGCCCTGGGCCACGGTTTGCCTGGGCCTTAGGAGTGCTACCCAACCTGCCACTGTCTCCTTTGGAGGTCCTCCCATCCCCACTTCCTGCCCGCCAAGGGGCCATGTCAGTAACTCTTGGTTTATGTCACTGCATTAATTCCCTCAAGGTACTGTAACAAAGACTCATAGACCACACAGACTAAATAACAGGCGTGTATTGTCGCACAGCTCTGAAGGTAGAAGTCTGAGGTCAAGGAGTGAGTAGGTATGGTTCCTACTTGAGGCCACTGTCCTTGGTGCACAGAGGTGCTTTCTGTGTCACATCCCCCCCTTACAAGGGTCCTGGCCACAACACTGGAATAGGGTCACCCTAGTCATCTCACTGCCTCTTTAAAGGCCCTGTCTCCAGATGCAGGTGCATGTGGAGGTACTGGGGGTTAAGACTCCAGCATCTGGATGTAAGGACGGGAACTAATTCTGCCTGTGGCGCTCCCTTGTGGGAGAGACACTGTGACCGATCTGATGGCCATCTTCCCTGTGGTAGTTTTCTGTTCTGGGGCAGACATCCACCATGGGTCAGTGACCATCAGAGCTCCTCCTCAAGCCGAAGGCACATCTCCAATCTCTCTTGATTTCTAACTCAGCCTAATAAACCAGGCCACACCTCTCCCTGGCATGTCCTCAGATTCTTTTCTGAAATTAAGATCAAGAACCTGTCTGGGCCAAGATAAGATCTTCACTCCCTCTCCTCTTTGGACCCTCGCCATGGACTTGGCTTGGTGGCAGTATCCAGGCACCTGGGTGTGGACATGCTGCTACCACTGCTCCCTGTCTCTACCTAAGGGCCACAGAGCAGTAGGGGGTGGGTGTGAGAGCTCCTGTCCCCTCATCCCTGCCTGAGTACAAGGCTACACACTCACCCTTCACTCCTGCCCTTGCCGCAGGGCAGGGGAACACTCCGTCCATGCTGTGCTGTGAATGAGGGTGGTTTTCTCTCCCGCCATCAACCTGCTGTCCCGGGCAGGCCCATAGCAGGTGTTTAGGGCAGTGGGTGTCATGCAGGGCAGGGCCATCTCAGGAACTTCCAGAGAGAGAGGTTCCAGGCAGGGTCTTTAAGGAAGTGGAGGAAGGAAGAGACTCTGACTGACAGTCCCCTTGGCACATAAGAGACTGGACATCAGGAACCAGAGTGAGATCAAAGCTGTGGCTCTCCACCAGCCAGCTGTGAGTCTGGGGACAATTCGCTTAACCCTCTCCATCTGTGTCTTGGGATATTAATGAGACAATAGTCTCCACCGCCCTGCAGATCTGTGCGAAGAAGAAGCACTCACGAGCACTCCTGCCTTATAGACACCCAATCAATACCAGCTCAGACGGACTCTCTTCTTGGAGGAGGGAGATACCTTGCAAGCAGTACAGTGTGGTACCAATGATAACAGTTGTTGCTATAATTGATGGTTATTATTATCACCTCAACCTGGGGTGTAAACCTGTTCCTAATGTATATAAAATAAACCAAATGGTCACATGACCATTCCCTAACAGCTTTAATCAGGGGCCAAATTGGCATTAGAAGCCCAGAAATGTGTGTCTTGTTCCCCTGGGCTCAGTGGTCCAGCACATAGCCCCATTGCCTCCTCACCACCTGGGCCCTCTCTGTCCTAAATCTGACCTCCACTCCTCACAAAGGCCAAAAGCTAAAGTCTGGATTGGCCAACCACAGATCCAACCATGGCCTTCCCACCCCTCCCACCTTTCACCCCCACAGCATTCTCCTGCATCCCTTCCTGTGACTGACCAGGGCCTGGGGACTTGAGGTGCAGAGGACCCTGGGGAGCAGAGGTCTTTGTGTGGGCCCTGGTCTTTCCCTCTAGGTTTAAGAGAGCACTGGATGAGGGGCCTGTATTTACCCCCAGGAGAGGCTCAGGCTGACTCATATCACCCTTCCTAAGACTAAGAGGGCTGGGACAGGACAGGAGAGGGAACCTGGGTGGCTTGAGGGGTTTCTGCTTTCACCCTCAGGGCCGGAGGGTGGTACTCATTTCCTCACCCATCATGCATTGTGACCAACCCCACTGAAGCTGGAGGGCTCCAAAGAAAGGACCCCTTGGCTGGGAGTGTTCCTGGGGAGTCTGGATATATTCAGTATTTGGCAGATGCCTACAATCAAGAAATGCTCCCAAGAATGTGTGGGCACCTGAGGGAGCCAAGGACATTCTGCTCCTTGGACCTTGGGCGCTGTTCTTGGTAGTAGCTACTGCCAGCCCAAGGCTTAGGTGCATCTCTGGGCCTTGAGGGGCCATTGCAGTTGAGCTTGAATTTCACCACTGCTGCCCTCTGAAGCCCACTCTTCCCTCAGGCAGCAAGGACATGAAGGCTATGACATCTCCCCGGCACATGGACCAGGACTCAGGCCCCCTGCAGATCCTGGTGTGTGAGGCGCAGTTGTGATGGTGGGACTCGCCACCATGGCGCCAGTGCTAAACGTGACGCTGCACCAGGCTCCCACTGTGCCCCAGCCCCTGCTCCTCACGCACCTGTTTGTCAGCCTGATCACAGTGCTAGAGAACACTGAGCTGCCTGTTGGATATTCCCCAGATGGCAGGAAAGGCGCGGCCTGGCTCATTCCAAGCAGAACTCTTTAATGCAATTAGATTTCACCTTGTTAGATTGCCTTTGCCTGTCATGAGCTTTGGGGATTTTGATTTATTCATCTAATATATTTATTTCCCCTCATCCACAAATTTAATAAGTTCTCTAGGTCTTCAGCAATTATGAATGAGGTGTTGGCTGGGCTGTGGATGGTGCCCTGCAAGCCCTCAAAGGTCAGCGTTCCCTCATTAGAGTTGTGCAGCTAGTTGTAAGTTCTCCTAAGGACTTTTACAGATTCTCATTTAGAGAGACGACATCATCAAATTATGTACCACTCACATTTCCCTCATTGACTACATTTCCATCAGTCAGAAAAGAATTCAGCCCCCAGCTGGGCTCCTTTCCTGACATGTGCGCTGTCTTGATCATAAAGGGATCAGATGAGCATTGCGTGGGGGCTTCAGGAGTGACTTGTGAAGTCCCCCAGGAAAGGAGGACTTGGAAAGGACCTGAAAGAGGGTAAGGCAGCCCTCAGAGTGGAAAGGCAACCACTGGCAAAGACTGCAGACAGGGGAGAGAGACCTCACAGCAGCCAGAGTTCTCTCTGGTTATGAAGAATGAGAGGACACAGAGATCTCAGAACCAGCAGAAAGGTCATGTGAATGTTTATTACATAGAAAAGAGGGAAAGAAAGAAAAGATTTCTAAAGCCATATTTCTGAGGATAAAAAACCCACAAACTTGGAATGTCAAAGAGGTGCATGCTTTATGTATTTATAAGGGGAATGAATGTGTATATATAAATATATACATGGAGATATGTACATGGGTTTATTTCTCATGACAGGTATGGTGATGCTGCTTGAGTGAAGGAGTTTGAAGCTGGCAGGAGGCTAGAGAAACAGGGAGCCTGCTCAGGTCCTTGGGGTGCAGTGGGGACTCCTGAGCCATGGCCCACTCATCCATGTTCAAGGATGCTGGGCAAGCTATGCTGCAGCAGGCTTGGGCCCCAGATGGCAAGGTTTGGGCCAGAGCAATTCTGCAAACTTCCTTAGGTCTCCAGCATTGGTTGTTTTCCTTTAAGAAAAGCTCCGGTCTTTGGAATGGCCTGGAACTACCGCTGGGGTGGACTGGGAGCTCCCTGTGGGACTGGGTTGAAGTGAGCTAAGAGCACGAGAAGCCATGGTGAACACTGTCTGAGAACAGTGGAGATGGACAGCAATTTGGCAGACAGGAGAGACCCACAGAGTCAGCACAGCATCAGCCACTGCAGGTCACCCTGCAGCGCACAATCGTGTAGGTCTGGAGATACACTTGGAGCCTGTTGTCTTGTTTTCACAGTTGTCTTTTAAAATGGGGCCATGTATGGTGGCATGAGATTTAACTCCTGAAAAGGGCCAGCCACGGGTTCCCACAGGTACCACCACCTTCTCCCCTTCTTCCACCGCTGCGGCAAGGAGTGGGTCTGGGCGCAGAATGAGGTCTCAGGAGAGAAGACTGTGGCAGCCCCCAGAGGGCCCCAGGTGAAGGATGCTCTCCCCTCACCTTCCTGAAGGCCCACCTCGTCTCTACCCACAGAAAGCTGTACTGAGGGAAAGGAGGATGAGCACAGCCAGGCTGGGTGAGGTGGGGGCTCTGTGCTCAAAGATCCCAGGAGGAAGAGGGCCCTGGAAAGAGGGAACAGGTGCACATCTGGCCAGGGAGCAGAGGGCCCCCCAGAAAGGAGGCGTGGTCTCTCTAGGTGAAGCTATCCTCCTCGTTCAGCAGTCAGGGGGCTCTGTGTGTGTGTGGGTGTGTGTGTGTGTGTGTGTGCCCGCGCTTCTGCCCTCTTGCATAAAATTGTGGCAGCCACTGGGGAGCCCAGACCAGCCTGGGTGTTGAGCATTTTCGTAAATCTAGGAAGGGAGAGGGCAGGGAACTGAGGTCCCCAGCTAATCCACATGAAAGACTTCAGGACTTGCGCTAGGAGTTTCAGCACACATGCAAACTGGACCTTTCTGCCCTCAGACAGCACCAGGACGGCCCTGGAATTTTAGAGGCCCTGGGCTGTGGGCTGCCAGGCCTTCAAGGCACTAAGCAGCCCCACAACAGGAGCACAGTGTGCTAGGCAGGGCAGGGCCCGCCATGTCTTCAGCTTTGATAGAAATGGGGAAAAATGACAGCTGCCCAGGGTCTACTGAAGGTTAAACTGAGGCCCGAGGCATCCCTCACAGCACTGGGGCCAGAACTCACTCCCGGGATGTGGGGGCACTTGGGATCACTCTGGCTGGGATTGATCCCATCTCTTTGTGTTATGGGGTTTAGGGTGGGATGTACTATGAGCACGAGAGCTTTCCCCACCTCTGGGACCCCAGGAACATTCAGAAGCTCTAAAATGCCACCCGGAAGAAAGCTGAGGAAAATGCAGGACCCTCCCAGCTACCTGCTCAGTCTGACCTGTTTATACACCCATCATCTGATGAAAAAGGACTGCCTCACTGGCACTGGCACTCACAGGGTGCTTTCTGCATGAACTGATGCCAGGTAGGGAGCATCTCACTCCGTCCAGAGGAGGAGAAGTAGCCAGCGGCGCTGGCTTCCAAGTGTCCCCCAAGCCAGAGACCCCGAACCACATGTGAGGCTGGGTCATCTGAGTACTGGCCGGAGAGCTGGGGGTCCTCAAAAGGCTGTTCCCTCATGCCCTGTGATGGGAGCCTCAGAGGACGCCAGCAAGAAGGATGGCAGCGGCCGCAAACTGCACTCCCAAACCCTCCCCGGAGACCTCACACTCACACCCCAGGCTTCTTTGCCAGTGCCACTAACAGTGAAGAGCAGCCAGAGTCACTGTGATGGGCCTGGGAGCCAGCACGGCTCGGGGGCTGATCACCCTGCATCCTGTGTATCTGCGGGGCAGAAACCCTGAGGTGGGAAAACGGGGCTTACTCTTTGGGTTAGGACCAGGCAGCTCCAATGCCAGCTCTGTCTCCAGCCCCATCATATCAGACCCCGCGAGGCCTGCTCATGCCAAGGCATGCAGCTTGGGGAGAAACAGGACAGGGCACACTGTGGGAGGGGGCGGGGGCCTGGGGCTCCTTCCCAAGATTGGTTTCTTTCACCATCCTATGTCTGGGGGGTGAGGGCCTCTTCTGAGGACCCTCTCTGGGCTGCCCGCCATCTCCCTCCTCCTGGGCAGGACTGTCAGGTGCTCTGCCTCCGCTGGGGGGCCACACCCAGCACTGCTCCTGTGAGACTCTGGAGAGCTCAGCATAGGGAAGGGCGATGGGCAGGACCACCATGCAGGACTGTTTATGCAGTCCTGTAGGTCTGGTGTAGTGGAGGGAGGAGACCCTGCTGACTGTCCCTTCCTTCCCTCCCCTCGGCACAGCCAACACTCGCCCAGGGCAGGGCCAGCAGTGTGTCAGCCTAGGGCTGGGCTGGGGCAGGCAACACGGCGAGCCCAGGGTGCTGCTGGCTCCTGCTGTGCCTGCCACCTGGCCATCCCAGTCTGAGGTCCTCAACAGCCCCCCAGGACACCCCAGCTGCAGGGGCCTCATTCCTAGCATCAGGGTCCCACTCTGGCCCTGGTGTCACCATTAGGCCCAGAAATATCTCACTCTCTGTGACTCCTACAGCCAGGCAGCATCTGCCATACACTGACCCAAGGGAGGCTGGGAGGGAAAGGTGCCCTCCACTTCTCCATCACCCTCCATCACCCTCCATCACTTTGTGCTGGCCTTTGAGCAAGAGAGGCAAAGCCTCACAGTCACCGGGGGCTGCCAGCCAGTTGATATCTGCTGGCTGGAGAGCCCTGCTCTTCAGCTGGCTGCTGTCTCATACATGAGCGCCCCCATCTGATGTCCAGGTGGCCACCGTTGTCCCCTTCTACTGAGATCAACGCTGAGGCCATGTTATGTCTCCAGGGGCTGATATTTGGAGCTGGCCGCGCCCCCTCACCCTCCCTGATGCACCATTCAGCAGCAGACTCAGGCTCCCTGCCCCAGTCCCCTGGAGAGGCCCCCAGGCTTCCTGCTTTTGACTTTGCGAGCAGCGTGGGGGAGGGGGCTCCCAAACACACACGCCCCTGTATTAAGCCATCCCACATGGGGACTCATACTGACACCTGCCACTCCAGAAAACCCCACCTGTGTCTGGATCGCGTCACTAAACATGTGACATCTCTTCGCTACTCCCTCAGCAGCCACCCCAGCCCCATCCAGGAGAGTAAGTCTCCGCTCCCTGAGTCCCTCCAGAGACTTGTCACTCAGGGAGCAGCCGGCGAACTCGGGGCTGGGGTGGGTGTGGGTCGTGGGCCACACAAGGGGGTGGCGGAGTGGTGTCATCGGACTCCAGGGGTGGCTCCGTTCTCTGACTCGGCTTCCTCGAGAGCGACCCTGCCCACCAGAGGATGTGTGCACAGAGCCAAAGGCTTGGGGTCTTTGTGTGGAACCAAACCTGACCCCAGGCCTCGAGATACTCAGGGCTCTCAACAGGGAGTGTCCCCCGAGTCTTGGTCTGGTGGGGTCACAAGGAAGGGGCGGAGGAGGCCGGGACACTGCCCAGCGTCAGAATGTGCAGGCAGCCTGGGCTGTGAAGGACGGAGGACCCGTAGGTCAGAGAACTCGCAGGGGCATGGAGGGTGGGCAGGAGGCTTGGGCAGGAGGCTCGGTCAGGGCCCAAGGGAGCCAGGGTCTGGAAGGGGTCCTGGGGAGTCAGAAAGCTGCCCAGTTGCTGCTCCCCGGCAGGACTTTGGTTGCTGAGCCCAGTGCGGCATAGGTGGGCTGGACCCCTGGTGAGGTGGTCCTGCTTCTCCCTTTCCGGACTCTAGCAGCAGAGAAGATGGCCAAGTGGCTTTCCTGACCGAGGCTTGACAGGCAAGAAGCACCTCCTGAGGGGGGTCACACCCAACTGGTGCCTTCTGCATTATACCAGTGGAAAGAAGAGAGATGAAAGTAGCCGTCCAGGCACTGTCTGGGGGATCTCCCTTCTTGCCCCTGCAGACTGGTGCCTGACACAGTAACCTGCACACCTGTCAGTTTCTGCCTCCGCCACTTACAGAGAAGCTGTGTAAGGGCACGGTCCCTGGTCACCCGAGGACCCTGTGCTTTGCTGGCAGTCTGTCCTCCAGAGCTCCTGCTTGATGGTAGGGTTTTCAGATCGAGGCCCACAACCTCACAGCATTGCTTCACTCTCTGGAACCCCATGAGCCACACAACAGTCACTTTCTGCCCGTGACTGACTTAGTGGGGAGACCTGACCTGAACAAGTGAGGTTATTTGCAGTTCTCACGGATCTTGGCGCATTGGACTCATCATGTGTCTCTCCACAGAAGTGTTCGCACATTTGCTGGTGCTCAGGGTGGCCCAACTGTTAGGAGGCTGCCCGGAAACGCAAGGGAAATGGATCACATCATCTTTCTCAGATCCAGAAGTTCTGCATTCAGAGACTTGTGTGGCTCCAAGGTTTTCAGAAAAAGCCATAAGGGCCAGGTGTGATACTGAGTCCTCTGAAGAAGGCTGCCCACCCTGCCCCGTGCCTCAGTCTGGCGTGTCTGGGCCTGAGCATCTGGCAACTCTGGCCATTGTGCCTGAGGGATGGAGTCACGGCCCTCTTGCCCAGGGAAACCAAGCTCAGACCCATGCAGCCCCAGCTCTCAGCAGCAAGTAGGCTGGGACGCAGCCAGACACAGCCCTGGGCCAGCCGGGAGCACAGGCCCTGTCCTCAGCGGGCAGGCATCTGGCCATCTTCACTCCCACCCTGCCACTGCCCCGGGAGGCCAGAGTGAATGTGAAGGACATCAGTGAGGCAAGGAGGCAAAAGGAAGTGCACGCAGTCATCCTGGCAGGGCCCACAAAGGCCCTGCTCGGTGCTACTGAGGGCCCGGCAGCAGGCAGTGGGCTCTGCCAGGTGAGAACGAGCCCGCTGAGCGCCCCAGCCTGTCTCTGCACCTGCGTGCCCATCTCCTCCCTGCTCCCTGATGCTCCAGGTGCCTACACAGCTTTCCCAAGCAGGATGGAGAGCCAGCAGCCCTCAGAGCCTGCTGGGCAAAGCAGATGCATTTTTGAAATAAATAACATATTGTTTAAAATACCCCCTTTCCACCCCAAATCCAGGACACAGCAGAAGAGCATAGAAAGGTCCTTGGGTCCAGAGCGCCTGGTGAAGCCCCCTCAGGGCTGCTCTGGGCTCCCTGGCAGGTCCCATGGGCTCACAGCTGCTGGGGGATGCCCTGTTCCTTGTACCCTGTGAGGAAGAAGAGAGATGGTCAGACACTGGCATCTTTATCATTTCTCCAGGAGGTGCCCCCAGACCAGAATGAGCTCTTGAGGCCTTATTCATGCCCCAGCGTGGATGGCCACTGTACCAGGGCACAGCTTCTCCTAAGGGCTTTGACTTTTTAATGGAAAGCAAGTTATGAATCAAGATCGTGGCCTATTGGGTTCACTGAGGGAATATTTAGGGTGGAACCCAGATGCTGAGTCCACGCCCTGGAAGCCACGGTAGGTTAGTGTCCCCTGCACTGGTCTGTGTGATGTTGGAAAGCAGAGCTTGGGGGAAAGTACAGGGAGGGCCCCCAACTGCTGGGCATGGGCACAGGTCGGGGAGGGGAAGGAAGACAGGAGGAAGCACACAGGAGGAGGCCGCAGCTGGAGGGTTGGCACAAGGAAAGGGGTAGGAACGCTGAGCCCTGAAAACATTGCCGATAATCATGCACTTTCCGAAAAAAAAAAGTTTTTTTATTATTATTATTTTGTGGGACCAGAGATCAAACCTAGGGCCTCAAGTGTGCTAAGTGACTGCTCTGCCATCGTGTGACATCTCAGGCCCTTTGGCAACGTTGGAATACAGATGACAGGAAGGAACTGGTGCTAACTGATCTGGGTGAAATCACATTGTTGAGGTTTCAGGAGTGGACTGTGTGGGCCACTGCCACCATGGCCCAGCGAACTTAGCCTGGAAAGGTGCTTCCTGGACTCAGCTGGCTTTTCCTCGCCATGTGGCCGACCCCTCAGCAGGCGTGGGTGCTGATAATCCAGCTCACAGGTGGGGCGGGAAGGGGGATCGGCGAAACAAGAGTGGCTGAGCTCAGGAGTCGCATGGACACTTAGGGACTTGTTTTGCTCAGCACACTCCCTCCAGCTATGTTTAAACATTTCCCAAAACTGAAAGCTAGAAATACAAGCCTGTTGGCCAACAAACGGCAGGGTGTGTATAGGGATGAGGGTGCGCCTGGTAGGGAGCGAAGGGCCAGGCAGCCTCCACACAAGACTGTCACCAGACAGTTGCCAGACTCACCTTGGGAAACTGCAGCAACACAGGGATGCCAGGCAGCAGGGGAGGAGCAAAGGCAAAAAGAAAACAGTATGAAAACAGAAGCCCTGGGGGCTGCCTGTGATCTAAACTGAGGGGGGCCCGTGGCAGGTTGGCTGCACTGGTGGCTTCTCTGGCACCGGGGCCTCAGGCACGGGGAGCTCTATCCCGTGGTGACTAGGTGGTCAGCACATGGGTGTGCGACATGGCCAGGATAGGGGCACCCTGCTCTTGATACTGACCAGAAGCACCGGCTGGTGCCCCCTTGGTCCCCCACATCTCAGCCACATCCGCCTCGATACTCATCTCCTGCCCTCCTTCTCTTCCCAGCTCCAGCCCATGCTGGCCTTGAGACGAATTCCGCAAGGATCTGGGGAGGGACAGGACAACCTCAGGATGCTGCAGTGACCTGCCTGGTCCCAGGCCTGAGGTGCCTGGGCTGCAGGGTGAGTGATTTCTATGGACGGCAGCAGCATGTATAAGCCTAATGCTCTGCGGGAGATCCCAGCTCCAGGATGATGCTGTCTGAACAGACGTTTGGATCAATTGGATAGCAAGTGTCCTCACGGACCAGCAGCATCTGCCATGGGTGTGGCAGCAGGAAGAGCCCACCTTAGACCTGCCAAGTGTTTATTCAGACTCAACCGAGTCAGGCTGTTGTTGGTCATTTGTTATTACCAGTATAACTAGAGCAGCATGCTTGTACGTTCTTGGCCATATTTTATGCTTCCTTCTTTATTTTTCTGGTTTGCCTCTTAGGAGTTTTTCTTGATGCTATATTTTCTGGCGACAGCCTGGAGAGTGCCATAAGAAAGATCACCTTGTACCATTACAACTGAAAAGTTTCTTTTACTTTCATGGGAAGGAGCTGAGTGAGCCAGCAAGAACAGCCCCTTATCCACTGTCTAGGACAGGAGTGAGTTGCAGTCATTCCTTTCACAGGGCCGCCTGGGACACACACTCCATCCCTCAGGGGCAAGTACTGATTGCATGAGGGTGGGGGTAATTTTGGGGAAAAGGGCAAAGACCCCCTTTTGAGATGGGTAGTGAGTCTGCTCAGACCAGGAAAGTGGGCAACAGCAGGATGTGGCTGCCTTTCTTACATGACTCCCCAGAAATCATTCTCAACAGTTCGGCACAAAGACAGCATGCCCAGAATCAGTGTACACACACCCAAGGAGCTGACTCTGGTCCCCAGAAGAGATCAGGGGGCTGGGCAGGGAGCAGCCAGGCTGGAGGGTCCTGCAATGCATATCCTGGGGCCCTGTAAGCCCCCATACCCACCAAAGAGCAAGTTCTTGGCCAGGTCAGCAGCCAAGGTGATGAAAGGTGAGGGGGTGACACTCCCCTCTTCTGAGGTCTCATTGCCTCCAGGGCTAAGGAGGGGGCTCTTCAAATTATCATGAATGTTTGAACACTTTGGTTCCTGGGGGTTAAGGGTGACCAAACACGAGAACAGATGGGTCCCTGATTTAAGATGGTTCAACTTGTATTTTGAGCTTACAATGGGTTTAGTGAAGTACTAGGTACATTGTGACAAGGTAGTTTGCACTGGTGATGGTTCCTTGGCACACAACCCCACAGTAAGCTCAGGAGCACTGGATACCAGAAAGCTCTGGAGGTCAACTCAGCATCCACACACCTCCAATGAAACCTATGCTATGACCCAGGCCTATTCCCTGCAAAGCTTCCTGACACCTGTGCTTTGGAGCCTGAATGTCCCTGAAGGCCCATGGGTTATAGGCTTGGCACAGGGTGGTGTTGTTGAGAAGTGGGAGCCCAGTGAAGGTCCTCATGGTTACTGGGGATATGCCCTTAAGGGGACTGTGGGACCCTATGTCTTCCCCTCTCTCCTTTGGCTCCCAGCCATGAGGTAAGTGGCTTTTTGTTCTGCCATGTGTACTCCCTATGGTGTTCTGCCCAAACAGCCCAAAACAACAAGGCCAGCTGATCTTGGACTGAACCCTCTAAAACTGTGAGCCATAATAAACCTTACCTCTTTATAAGCTGACTTCAATATCTGTTACAGTAATGGAGAGCTAATATACTAAAGTTCCCCTACCTGGCCAGACCCTTAGTTTGATGAACAGATGAGCCAGTCAGAGGGGCTCATAGGATTCAAAGACAGAGCCTTCCAAGGGCAGATACACCATTGTGGTTTGGTTGGGAACAGGGTGGGGGCTGCAAACCATCCCAAAGGCCCTTAGGAAGTATCCTAGTTCCCTCTGGGAAATTGTCAGCCTGCTTTGCTACCAGCAGTGCTCTATACCCCTCTCCAAAATGGAATGGCCCTTGAGCACAGGCAAGTTAACATGAGGGGACTTGCAGGCCTGCCTTGGTCTCTGCCTGCTCTGTGAGGTGGGTGTCCCAGTCCTCTCCCTGAGAGGCAGCCCCGGTCCCAGGGAAGCCCTTCCTTCTGGAAAGGAGTTTCTTCACTGCTCCTCAGCTTATGCCTCCCTGGAGGCTGGACAGGCTATGTTCCTCTTCCCGCTCCTGCCAGACTTTGGCTGCATGACATCTTCCTGAGTTGCTCTAACTCTGGACCTGCGTCCTCCCTGACCTCTGCTCCAGGAGGACCTGCTTCTGGGCAGCTAGTCTAACTGGTCTACCCGCAGTGCTGGCTCTCACTCAGGCTCCGGTACTGCATCTTCTTCATTAGTCTCTGACCCTGGCCCAAGCATATGTGTGCCCTTCACAGAATCCCAGTGAGGGCTGAGTCAGTGTGGATCATTCTAGATCATTCTAGAGCCCTTGAACCCTGGCCTTCCCCTTCTGTCTTTGCTGCCCTTACCTGGTACGGCCTTTCTCCGGCTGTGGCAGTCTCTTCAGTGAATGGCCTGCTAGGTGAAAAGTGTGGGGCGGGGCGGGTGGGATGAAGGGCAAAGTGCCTGCGATGTGTCCTGGTTGTATCCTCTGCAGCCCGATGGGTGGGAACATGCACGGCGTACACAGAGAGACCTGTCTGCACAGCTACTTAAGATAGCTGGCGCCTGATTCCAGACTGCTAGGTTATTTTAAAATGATAATCAAGCCATTAGTAAACCTGATTTTGTAACTTTACGCCTTCTACAGAACAGTTTTTTTGTCTGAATTAAGTTTGCATTAAAAGATGATGAAGATCCACCCAAAACAAATGAGGACTAGTGAGGCTTTAGCATCAAAGAGTAAAGAGCTTAGATTAATCAGAGGGGGGATCACACGGCTCTAGCTGTAAAAATACAGCTCTAGTGTTTCCTGTGTGCAAAGCTGCCACGTAGCCCCGTCCTTTCTGGAAACTGCAGGATGGAGACAGCACAGTGGCGCAGGGGATGTGCCCCCCATGCTCCTCCCAGGGCTGCCAGGCTTGGAGTTGGGGCTGTTTCCTAGACAAACAAGGTGACTACATGTCCTGGCTGGACAGGGGTCTCCTCCCCATCTCATGCCTGTGACTCAGGGTTCTGCAAGGACTGTCAGTCTGACACACACTCTGAATTCCCTGCAGCCTCTAGGTCAGGTATGGAGAAGAAGACACAGGTGAGCCCTGGGGATGGGCAGGCCCTTGGCCAGTCATGAAGACCTCCGCATGCAGCCCAACCTAGAGCCCCTACTCCAGCCCTCACACCCTGCCAGACCCGAGTCCCACTGACAGGTGTAGTGCTGGCAGCTACTCACTGGCGAGGATGACCATGTCCATGCCCCAGAAGATGCTCATGATCCAGCCCACCATGACGATGGCCGTGAGGATCTGGATGAGGGCCGCCGCGATGTTCAGCCAGAAGACACAGCACACATGCCTGTCGGGGAGGTCCGTGCGGGCTCCACACAGCACAGTGAAGGCTGAGACAAAGGTCCCTGTGAGAGAACAGAGCATCAGCATCAGGAACACAGGGGGCAAGGGGGTGTGCTCATCTGTCCCAGGCCAGCTGCCTACCCCCCAAGAACTTGAAGAGCAGCAGTTCTCACAGCCTGGCCTCGGAACAGCACCCCTGCCCATCCTGGAGTGGGCAGGGGCCACCAGGAGGAAGCAAGACGGGGCACACCCTGGGGCCTTTGGGGGCACAGAAGTCACAGGGCATGCAGTCCCAGGGGAAGAAATGGCAGGGCACCCCCCACAGGCAACAGTGGGAAGGACAGGACAGCTGTATACATCAAAGGTTCTAGAACCAAGGAGTCCAGAGTGGGGAGCACGTACTGCTGGAGTGACACGAAGGTAGTCAGAGAAGGTAGAGGGGCAAGTGATGACCTGCACACCCAGGGACAGGAGCTGAGACCCAGAGGCCAGCAGTGTGGAGGAGGAACAGGCCATGCTAAGGCCCTTAGCATGTGCCCTGACAGGTCCCTAGACTGCAACATAGGGCCAGAGAGCCCAAGGTCTACTGGGCATCTTCCAGGTGCCAAGCAGTGTCGGGCTGGCCCACCTTCCCCTGCTCATCCTCTTATTCCCATGGGTAACAGTACTGTGCTCACTAAGCGGTCTCTGAGCCCACCTTGAAAGGCAGAGGCATTGTGCCTGTCTGTATCAGCTTCCAGTGGCTGCTGGAACAAGGTACCCCAAACATCATAGTTTAAGCCTCACACCTTTATTCTCACAACTCTATGAGTGGAATCGGAAGAGTCTGCAAAGCAGCTGCAGGGGGGTGTCCTGCTGGAGGCTCTGGGTGCAGCCCCTTTCCTTGCCTGTCCCTTCCCAAGGCACCTACAGTCCTTGTCCACGGCTCTGCCTCCATCCTTAGAGACAGGTACCTTCTCTGAGACCCCTCCTGCTTCCCTCATGCAGGCCCCTAGCAATTGCAAAGCTCAGAGAGTGTGCAGCTGCAGGTTCTAGGACAATCTAGTCGCCAGTGAAGCCTGTGCCCCAGCACAGAGCTGGGCAGCCCTATGGGGCCTCACAACACACACAGGGGCTTCTGGACCATCCTTGCTGGGGACAAGGCTGAGGAGTCACAAGGAGGCCCCTGTAAAGTCTCCCCGGGTTCCAGTGTAGTGGGGAAGCTCCTCCTCCTGCTCACTTGGCAGAAGAGCGTGGGAGGAATGGGTATGCAGCTTGTGGAGGCAGAGGTGATAGTCACCAGAGGAGGGGGTGCTAAAGGGCAGCAGAGGTGAAGGAGGAGTTGATGGGGACAGAGCAGGGGAGTGACTGGGTCCTTTGTGGAGGGCTACAAATACCTGCCTGAGCCTACAGGAAATGGGTCTTGCACAGAGTTCTGAGCAGGAAAGTGATGCAGGGGGAAAAGCTAATTTAAGAAAATCAGTGAATTAAAATTAAGCAATTTAAGAAAATTAATCTGTCAGTAGGGTGTTGGTGGATTTAGATTGTCTGAGATGGGAAAGACAGAGAGGAGAAGCAGCAGCTGAGAAATGACAGGGCTTTGGTGGTGGACACAGGAGAACACAGGGTACTCGCAGGCCATCAGGAAGCATGTGCCACCACCCTTTGTCCTGCTGGCATATCACACACATGGGATGGTGATGAGCATAAGCTGACACCATTACACAAGAGAATACTGAAGAAGTAGAAGAAATGGCAGGAGAGGAACAAGCGTATGTGGGGGAAAGGTTAAGGGACGATCTCCCATTTACTGCACACTTGCAGCGGGATGGCCACATGCTGCCCTCTACCTACATTACCTTTCCTTCTTAAAACTACTGGAGGTGGTTATCATTCTCCCCATTTTACAGACAGGGACACCAAGGCTTAGGGAGACTAAACTATCATTGCCCGTTGTTGCAGAACCCAGATTGAAACTCCATCTGTCTAGACTAGAAGCCTGAGTTCTTTTCAGTCTAGGGTGCGCCATTCTTATACTAAGAAATAAGAGAAAACCTTCATCCTTAATGCTTTTCAAATATCCTTGAACTGCTCCATGAAGGGTCCCAAGACAGATGGCACTGTCACTGGTGGGCGCTGGCTGAGCTGCAGGGGCCTCTCTCTCTGTAGCTGTCTCCTGCCCGGGAACAGGAACAATGTTCTGTGTGGTAGAACCCTATCAAATGGGCTCTTCTGAGGGTGAGAACGGCTACATCGGTGCATGTCCTGTGGCTCCGTTCACACATATGGTATGTGTGTGAAAGTCCTGTATGTAAGGAAGCTGTTCCTGAACTCAGAGACTCCACATTAGGAGGGCATCTCTCCATATCCTGTCAATAGATGGACTCTCCTCCATCACCAGCCTGGTTGGGGCTAGCAGGGCCTTCCGGCACTGGTCTGCTGCTGGCAGGGAGGGAAAGTTGGGAGCCCAGCCCTCTGTGGACGGCAGGGCTCGCACTGTGAATGATGTTTGCGAGGCTCTGGGTCACATGGGGGAAGATGAGCTGGCTGCACTTATTTCAAAAAGGAAATGGCTTAGCATGGATGTGGTAGGGAGATCTTTGGCCAATAACCTCTCTTTTACCCATGTCAACATAGTCCTGACAACTCTAGCATGTGTACAGAGTGTAAACCCATACTGACTGACACACTGTGTTAATTTAGATTTCACTAATTAGGAGACAGTAATCACGGATCCCTTTTGCCATAGGAAGTCATATATACCATAGAAGGTAATGGTTATGTGCATGGATTGATAAAATAAAAACATGGTTTATTCTCTTCAGCCATAAGTTTAAGAAATGATGTTAGCACATTTTCATGAGAAGAGGCGTTATTTTAAATGTCTTACCCATTAACTAAAGATCTCCACCTAACCACATGTGTCAGCTCTAATTCATTCCATGAGTGCTACTCAGATGCCAGTGCTGGGTCCTGGGAGTAGGAAAGGGGGCAGGTGAGGGGCATGTGGTCCAGCCACCTAGACACTCCTGTCTGGTGGACCCTGGGTCACAGAGGCACAGCTACAAATCTGGCCACCGCAGGGGGAACGTCACAGAAGAGCAGGCAAGGTCCCAGATGTTGACGAGAAGGCGGCGATCTGGGCGTGAAGCATGTGTGGGGGCAGGAGGTGGACAACGAGGCCAGCTCTGTGGGGATGTCAGGGAAAACTTCATAGACTAAGAAAATGAGACTTGATGGGCAGGGGTCAGATTAAGGAGGGGTGCAAAGGACCAACCAGGAGCCCCAGGAAGGGAACAGACAGGGGTTGGAGGTTGGTTTGAATTTCAGAGCAGACCCTGTGACCTCAAGGAAGAGGTCAGAGAGGTAAGACCGAGGCCAGGAGAGAGGTGGGAGACCAGGTGGGGCTGTTGGCAGGGAGTGGGCCTGGTGGCGCGTCCCAGGTGGGCGGCCCACTGGGTACCAGGGTGAGGGAGGAGCACTGAATGGCTCTGGGTTCCTGCCTTCCCACACTGAGGTAGGAACCCCAGAGGGGCTCCTGAGACATGGGAGAGTCGATTTCTGGCCTTGGAAGTCACCTGGAAGTGAATGAGGTCACCCTAGGGAGGGGTAGAGTTTATAAGGAAAGATCCTGGGGACATCAAGATGTTGGGGGTTAGCACAGAAAGAGCAGAGCAAAGGAAAAGAGAGGACTGCTCAGAAAAGTCAAGAGCCTCCCTGAGGAGAGAGGAGGGAGCAGGATGGGGGTGGGCCGCCCTTGGCAACAGTGAACACAGTGTCACCACGATCAGTGGCCTTGGCAGGGTGGTTGGGAGAGGGACAGGGCTGACAGCAGGACACCAGGCCTGAGGAGGGAGTGACTGGGGCTTCCAGGATGCAGGAGGTCACTCCCCCCCGAGCGGGAGAGTCAAGAGGGGTAAGCTTGCCTAGAATGAGCTGCCAGGGAGGGGAGTGAATGCAGATGTAACAGATGGGCCAAGAGGATGTCGGGGTTCTTCAGGAAATGAGAAGGTAGCTCCAAAGAGGAGTTTTCCAGGTCAGTCTGTACCTCAGAATTCCAAACCAAGCATCTGCAGATTCTAGGGCCACCTCCGGGCCCCTGCAGGCAAGGGATAGGAGCAGGGAGTGCTTGATATGAAAAATAAAACAGGGGCCAGGATGTCTCAGTGGTAGAACACATGGTTAGCATGTGCAAGTCCTGGACACCAAAACATACATACATACATACATATGTACATATTACATACATAAATAAACCAACAAATAAATGTTCTCCCACTGATACTATTAGACAGCCAAGTCTGAGGGTCCTCACATTGAGGAGTGGCAAAATGAGCTGTGCAGATGTAGACTCAGGAAGCCACACACTGCGCAGGTGACTAACGGCCCACAGCTCTGCCTTCCCTGTCCACCAGCTTCCCCAGACTCAGTGCTGAGCCCACCTCCTACTCAGCAGACTGCACCCCAGGGCATTGCCATGGGGCAGCCCCAAGTGGCAGGGGAAAGGTGGTGAGAAACCGCTTTGAGTGTCTACTGTAACCCCAAGGAAACAGAAGCTAGAGGAGCAGAAAATAGGACCAGGGCTGGGGCCCAGTGCGCCGATACAGGATGACTCCTGCCTCCTGTCTTCTCAAGCGCTGGGGCAGCAGGCTTTGGATGCTGTCGGAAGACACTGCTGGCCTGTCAGCTCGGTTGCCCTGAAACAGAGTCCAAAAAAAGGCTCTGCTGCACAGGCAGGAGAGTGAGAATTAAAAGACCCATCACAGGGTCAGAGCCCAGGGGTATTTGGTGGTGCATTGTGAGCTGAGCATATGTGAGGTGTGAGTCCCCAACATGCATGCACACACACATATACATGCATGCATATATACGCATGTGTGCACGCACGCACGCATGCACACACACACACACAAACCAGCCCAGGCAGCAACCGGGTCCTCTCTTGGAACCGCACTGAGACACTCATCCTAAAAGTGTCTTGTAGAGCAGCTCAGGTCTACAGGGAGACCAGGGAATAGAAAACCAGTAAAGCATAGTGCTAAGAACAGCACAGCACTTCTGGTATTTCCATCCCTGACCACTC